GGAACATCGATCGAGCGAGACGAGCTCTTATCATGAATGGTTACCCTACATATTTCATAGAAAAATACATTAAAGCCAGAATAAGTATTATCAATAGATTTAATAAAAACAAAAACCACATTAACTCACTCACCAATTGTGAGATGTCGCCACCAGTCATGGAAGGTAGTTCTAGACTCTCATTCATTATTTTACCCTTCTATCCTCGTCTCGAAAAGACTCTCCGTTCATTTTTTTCTAAACACAAATTAAAAACTATTTTCCAAAACTCTAATAAATTTACGAACATAATCCGACTAGGTAAAGATCAGACTCCAAAATTGAAAAGAAGTGGCATTGTTTACAGAATAGAGTGCGAGTGCGGTTTGTTCTATGTAGGCCAAAGTAAGCGCAGGTTGGCCACACGTATTGACGAACATAAGAGAATGGTTCACAAGTGTGATAAAAATTCTGTCATTGCCGCGCATTGTTCTGAGTTCAGCCATACTTTCAAGTTCGATGAAGTCAAAATTTTGGACCAAGAAAAGAACAAATTTAAAAGGGAATTTTCGGAGATGTTATATATTTCGTACTTCAACCGTAATGTTAACAGAAAACTAGATACCAATAAACTACATGATCATTATAAGTCCTTTTTATATGAACTTAGAGACAGGATGCATGGGTGGCGTTGCTCTTGACGAGTGTTGCTTGATAGGTGTGCCACTTGATGGCCACGTTTCTGTTGGTCCGTGTTTCCTTGTACATACATTGACCGTGGGTGCACCCTTATGTGGTGACAAGACCTTAACACCATATTACTATTTTTAATATCTTCCAGTTACATGTGCTGAGTCAGGATGTGACTTATATTGTAGATAACTTAACTGTACATACATTTTGACTGATAAAGTTTATAATATTAAGATTATTTAATTATTAGTATTCCATTGCCGTGGTTATGACTGACTAGTCTTTATCGGTCATGCTGCGTTTGGCATTTTCATGTTCGCATCTGCATAGGTGACTTATATTTTTATTTAATGTAATTTGTCATAATGTTTTGTATATTATAAATATTGTAAATTGTACAGTTACCTGAAGAGGGAGTTAGGATGACTCCGAAATATTGGATCACATTGTCCAACTAATATATGAAATAAATAGCCATGCTCCAAGATTCCAAGTTTTTTTATTTAAATTTCCTTGTTTATAATTTTGTTGAAAAGTCAAATTTTGAAAAAATATAAAAACAACTTCTAATTTTTATATTTAACAACAAAATCATGAGAAGACTGAATCAAATAAGACAATTTCATTTTTTGGTAGCCCACTTTAGGAATTTCGACTCATATTTACTATATGTACTTACAA